TCACTCAATAATGCCTAGTAGCTATGATCTATATCGTTATACTATTATGCAGAGTGGAGCCATACTTGATGGCTTTATCTACAATTCCATAGCAGAAGCTCGTCAAGCTTTCCTGAAGTTTGGCAAACAAGCAGGATGTAATGGCACTACTATTGCTGCCGTGACTCAGTGTGTACGTAGTTTAAGTGTGGCAGCAATTTTAAAAGCATCCGCTTCATTATTATTAGCGAATGGCGGATTTTTTGGTATTACCGTAGACGGTAAATTAATTGCAGAGAATCCTAGAAAAGCTTGGGCAGCAGGTCGATTTAAGAAAACCAATCTACTAATAGGAACTTCAGCTCAAGATGGCTACTCACTCATACCTTCTTATGTAAATAGGCCAATGTTTGTAGGCCTTATAAAATCCTCGCTTACTGGAGTATATAATGATTTAGGACAAGATGTTACGATCGACAGATACACAAATTACAAAGAAAACATCAATTCTCTATCAAGTAATTGGCTCATGTTAGCGGAATTAACTACTGATTCACTCTTCCTTGCACCCGCTGATTTCGTTGCCGGGCATCATTCTACTTATTCACCTACCTATACCTATGTTTTCTCTCATCGAACAAATCAATCAGCCTATTTTAAACCTAAAAATGGTGCGACTCATGGCGTAGAACTACCCTACATCTTTGGCTATCCAGTCAATAAGCCTTTCGGCTTTTTATCAAATTTTAGTTCTGCAGAAATTGATTTGAGTAAAGATATGATGGCTATGTGGGGAAATTTTATACGCACTGGGTAAGTACTGGAGCATGTAATTTTCCATCTTATAAACTAGAATGATTAATATCTTGTAGTGTTTAAAAGAAAAACTCAGTAGTTGATCGACTTCAGTTATACTGTAAAGAAATTACTGCAGTACATTAGTATACAATTCAGATTATTTAAAACTCGATGAATAGAAATTAAATCGTCCAAAATGCAGTTATATCAATTTTACAACTTATATGTTATATAACTAATAGTTACTTCGACTGTTTTACTTAAATCTTAAGGGATCCATCCACTACAAGGATTTCTTGGCCAGAATACACAAGTACCAGTACTTACTACTTGACTATTACAGCCAAAGGCTATAATCCTGTAACCAATTACAAGCGTAATCAAATTGCTTTCTTTAATAATTTGTTAAATGTAAAATTTACGTTAGTTAATAATCCTACCGCTAGCACTCAATCTCCAACTCAATCTCCGACTCAATCCGTAACTACTCCCTCCGGCTCTGTTATACAGAGTTCGACTTTCAAGGTTGCTACTTACGCCTTGATTGGAGTGAGTGCAGGTTTATTTATCATTGTGGTTATCTTACTTGCAATGCGTTGTCGGCGTAGTAAAGAAGTATTGGTCTAGAGGGTGAATTTCTTGCTCAGCTGATTTCACAGATAAGTAGAAAAATGCACCGAATAAATATATAATAATACTGTAGTCATAGTTGCGGTTTTATTATCATTATAGGACTAACAATTATAGTCAGAAAAATCATTTTGTTAAGTTTTACACCATGGATCGCATTCTTGGTCAGTAACGACATAGAACCATTATACGATGCATACACGTCTGTGCTAACTATCAACACATAGATCAATCTTAGCGGGTACATAGACTATCCTAAATACCAAATCACTCATTCGGAGCAAGATCGAATGTTTAATAAGAGATGGTGCTACTTTAATTTTAAGAGCTACATAATTAAACGTCACTGAAGAAACTTGTCTTTTTTCTTTTGTAGTGTTAGAAATTTATTTTTGATACCTTTTTAAACGTTTGCGAAGATAATACTATTTTAATAGTTGCATAGTTAAATGTCCTAAAGGGAATTTTCCTTTTTTTAACCGTTTACAAAAAGACAATATAATTTTGAATGTTGCATAGTTAAATATGTATGAAGGAACTTGTCTTTTTCCTTATTTTAGCGTTAGAAATTATTTTTGATAACTTGTAGAAGGTTTACAAAATAAATGTATTTTTTAATATCAAAATTAAACCGTAATCGTGATCTCCTCTCTATTTAAATTAAAGATTTCTATCTTGTTTTTAGATCTCTTTCGTGCCATTCAGTAACTAGTTTATCGAACATCTTTTCATATACCAATATACAGTGCACTTACACGTGTATTACAATACAGGCATCTTTTCAACAATGTTTTACTACAAGTTGATAAGACGAACATTATTTAGCGACCAAATGATCCTGCCCTTAGCATTCCTATTCCTGATAGTAGTACTATACAAGAAGGCGCATATACAGCCATACTATCGCAAAGATTTCTAGTTGAATGATGGCTATTTCGGTCTCGCTTTTCTACTCAGTTCTTCAAGTGTTGAAAAGTGGAATAGCACGTCATGCTTTCATACCTATTACTAATAATGCCTTAACCTTTACAAGTCATCGCGTAAAAATATCTACACAATATCGATATACAAGTTGGACTAGTTTTAATTCACCGATATTGAATTTAGATCAAGATAGAGAATTATTTGACCATTTCGTCTTTGCTATACCTAATGAGTATTACGTGGATCAATTTTCTAGACATGTGCCGACATGTAACTATATATTTGCTCATCGTACTAGTGGCACAAGCCGATCATCCATCTGATTATGGGTTCATTTCAATAGGTCAGTATAAGATTCTTACAGTACTTTTTGCCTAAAGATTTCTTTACGTAAAACGAATAGCTCTAAGGTAGTAATTTCTGCATAGTACTGATTATTGAAATGGTATTCGTTATATCGCTAAGGGTGGCCACTGGGCCTTTAAATTTTGATTTCATGTAATACTCTGATAAAAATTAAATAAACATAGAATCTTTATAGAGTTTTCTACATAGCCATTTTGATTGTTACATTTTCTTATAACGGTTGTTATCTGACAGTCTATCAAATGGTAATACTATCAGTTAATTATTAATAAATGAGCACATTATCGTAAACCGTCAGCAAAGCGACGGGAGTTTGTACTACTCTTATCTGAAGATACAATAGTTCACACTATGGAAATACCTTCTGTTTTTGGTTATCTTGTCAATAAACAACAGTACATATAATGTTGTACAGTAAAGTATAAAAAAATACAAGTAATGTAATGTACTCCAATAACTAAGTCCACGAAGGATAACGAGCGATAGTACCACTGTCTTCCCTCGAAAATAACGCTAGTGTTGTATTTGAATAGACGAGCACCATGGTAATCGTTCTGTATTGACCGTTACCACATGCTTATTACTAAGTAAGCTAAAGCTACCCCGTGGTTATATATAATTAATCCAACAGTTGTTGCACTGCTCTTATGGTCGCGAGTACTCCTTAAAATAAGTAAGACTATTACCAAGGTAATCGCTCTATGTTGTAACGCTACCACATACTTCTTACTGTATACAGTAAGCTAAAGGTATCCTGTAGTTATATCTAATTAATCAA